TTGTGATTAATTTGGAAGACACGCGGCCAGGAGCGGTGGTGGCCACCCTTAAGACGGCTGATCAGATGACGGGGCAAACTTTTAACGACGTGGGACGCTTTGACGATGAGGGCGCCGTAGTGGTGGACGGAGAGCGTGAGCGTAAAGGCAAAGTGTGAATATATATAATGTGATCGTAGCTGGCCTTTTGTGTGGAGTTGGAGTGTTTCATGCGCTGTATTTGTTTTTAGCATTGGATTTTTCTATATATAATATTTGCTCTTTTGTTATATGTTTGCTTTTCTGAATTACTGGATGTATCTAATGTGGATGAATAAATTTGGTGTAGGAAAAATTGGCGTGGGTTCCTTGGCAATATAATAAATTAAACGGGGCGAAATTTGGTGTGGTGGAGCGGAAATAATGAATTGTTGGTTGGGCTTTTGGGTTTGGGATTTTGGATTTCATAGTTGTGTTTGTTTCCTTGCATGGCCCAATTTAATTTGTAACATATGTTGGGCTTTAGAATCCAATCTGCTTTAGAAAATAGTCAAATGACTCAAATCTCAAATGTTCTTGTCCAAATATTGGATTCAATGTCTACACAAAATCTTAGTAGCACCAAAGGTGTCACTAATTAGTATGGGTTGTTTGGATTAACAGTTTATAAATAATTAATAACTGTTTGTTAATGGTATAGAGTGTTTGGATTAATTATTTATATGTAATTAGTAATTGTTAGTTGATATTTAATATATTAATAATTATTATTTATAATTTAAAATATTTATTTTATTTTATAACTGCTATTGATACACAAACTAAGAGTATGATTCTAGTTGCCGATTAAAAAAGGTATGATACTAGTTACTGAGATTTCAAGGTTTCAAATTAATAGGAGGAGATTTATCACTTTTTTTTATCTCCAATTTTTAATGATAAATAAACAGAAAGACAAAAATGTGCATATTATGAATCTTAAATGGATAAAGATATATCCTCAAAGTCTATAGATATGAATGTTACAACTTAAATGGATAATGATATATCCTTAGTTGATGACAATTTGGTGCTTAGAATCATGAATACTTAAAATAAATAAAATAAATATTTTATTTTAAAAATTGGTTCATCCGATCAAAACATGAATATGGATATTTTTTTAAGGCTTATACAAATATAATAGGAAATAAATTTTTTTTTCTTTTAATTTTAACTTGAAATCTCAAATTTTTACCAATTAAAACATCCTTTCAATATACTCTTGACATGCGTATGGATCAGCTTAAATTGCTCATCCCTTTCATTCGCAGAGTTATTAACATTCTTCTACCATGAGAAATGTCTTTAAAGTCTGTTAATATGATTATAGACTGAATCTTCATTGGTTTATGTTGAAATGTTGATTCTATTTTATAAAAGTCCCACAATACTCATTTGTAATCATTTGATATCATGCATTCTTAATTGTAAGATCCTTAAGTACCAAGAATCAATAAAAACTGTCTTTTTATCATTCTCATGTCGAGGAATTTTGTAATATGGGTTGGATTATTCCCTAAGGTCTTTTGAATAAAATTTATCTTGTCCATAACAAAATAGATAACCTTTTTTTTTTTTTTTTGCTATTGTAATATAAAGATAGTTTAACCATTAAGAACTAAGGGTAAGTTTGATTTAAGGAGAGCCTGTGAGGAGAGAGTGGAAAATTCTTGTATTTAATTAAAAGAAATTGAAAGGAGGGGGAAGTTTTTTACTTTATTTTTTTATTTTAATTAAATTACTTATCTAAATAAAAAGAGACGAAGAAAGAGAAATGGAGGGAAATAAAAAATTCAATATCTTTTTATTCAATCCCCCTTCTCTTTCTTTCATCTTCCTTAAACTAATTCTACCATTAATCTAGCTAGTTAATATCCATTAATTTAAAATTTTTTATTCAAATGAACTTCATTTAACTTCCTTAGCTCTGATATTATAAAAAAAATAAAAATAAAAATCAATTTATTTGTTTTTTTTTCAAATATTTTCCCATCTATCTCAAGTTAAAATCTTAAACATGGAGCCCTGTGAGCAGGAAATCAAAAGATTCTTGTTTACCTGCTTGCCGTACCTATCTTTTTTTGTTTTTGAACGGCATACCTATCTTAAATTTAAAACGACCAAAACCACTAAAATCCCTCACCCAAATACGCCGCTAATTAAAATCCCCACCAACTATCTGCGTCGTTCTCATTTTTTTTCCTTTTTGCTCTTCCCTCCCAACCAGAAACAGAAGAGGCGAAAGAAAAAAGCAAGATTTTTTTGGATCAATTCAAACTCACCTGCAACTGGTATGTAAAATCCGTAATCCTTTCTTTTCAATCATTTTCATGTATTTTCATTACACACATACGATCTTCAATGTTGATGCATGGTACGTGGATTTGTGATTATTGATTAATTGACACCGGAAAATCATTGAATTAATTCTTTAAAATCCAATAAATTCTCTTTTTGAATCCAAAAGTTGTATTTATTGTTAAACAAGTATCATTTTATATATCGATGAGTTTTAATCTCAAATTTTTGAACCATAATTAAAAGAAAATTAATTTTTAATATATCAACTAATATAGAGAGTGTTCTCTTAAAAATAATTTCCAAATATGTCAAACTTGATCCAAATAACACCACAACCATCTAAATTATACATGTGTATATATATATATATAATAGTTTTGAAAATTGAGAGTGCCACTGGTCCATGTGGTCCCATAATAATGTATAAAAATTCACCACTCAGTGCCGACGAAAAAGACGTACATGAGGAAATAGTTTTTGTTCTGCATCACACTAATTAATAATAAACACCATGCAAAATAGTACTTGTGATATCCGTGAGAACCATCTGACCCAAAAAAACAAAAGGACAGACAAGTGGACATCAGAAACAGAACTTGACCATTGTCGCACCTAAGGCCACATATAATTTCTTCCTTTTTTTGGAATTTTGACAATTTCATGATTTATTTAAATTTTTCATATATATGTAGCCTTGTTTCTGCGAAGTTTCCTTTCATGTGATGATGAGTTGATTTCAATCTCTATTATTGTTATTAAGAAATTGTTTTTTTCTTTCAATAATATTTACAGGATTTTTATCTTAGCACAGAGACTATTGGTCCTTGATCCCGAGGAATAATATTACAGCACTCCACACATGGGAGGAAATTAATATATAAATTCCATGTTGATTTAAGAGGAGGAGCAAATTTCAAATTGGGTTTGCTTTCATCAGATTCATTACCGAAGCTTTCTAGGTTAGTTACTTCTGCTTTCGTCTTCTTTTTGGAATTTAGGACTTAATTATTGATCTTATTGTAGTTATATGCTAATTTAGGACTTAGGTGTTGGGATTAACCCCATAAAAACCAAAAAGGGAAATCTGAAAGTTGGCCTTACTCCTTCCTTGATTGGTGTCAAAACCCAACTAGGTGCTTAGTTACAAAGTGTGGCAAACATTCTTAAACAATTGGGTTCAGTCATGTTTATTAAACTCTTATTATGTTTATGGGTTTGAGTACCTTTTGAACTCAATTAGTAAAATAATTTTTTGGCTTTTAAAAAAAAATAATAACCAAAAAGGGAATTTGGATTAATTAATTGAAAATCATGTATCACTTGGTAATAATATTTGAGCTAGTTTGATGATTCTCAGTTTGGACGGATAAAGAAATTGCTAGTTTGGGTTTGAAAAGATATTGTTGTTCTTAATGAATCATTGTACATGATTGATTCATTAAAAGTAAAAATGTCATTTTTCAGCCCTATGTATTGGAAACACAGTTTTTGATCATATTTTTTTTATGGATCTTTTTATGATAATAATTGTTTGAATTATCTTAGTATAAAATCCAACTAGCTAGATTTTTTTTGGGCCATCTAAATCAATCTAGATTTAGAATTGCCAACTTAATTTTCTCTCTAAAAAAAAAAAATGAAACATTTGACGTGGGATGACCTAATCAAGCTAGTGTATATGATTGTTGTTGATACACAGAAGGAGGGTTGGTAAGGGAAGTTAGGCATAAAATGTCACCGCGTTAGCTTAAAGATGCAATTTATGGGTGTCTTTTTCTTCAATTAAAAGGGTAGTATTTATTTTAGGCTACAAAATAAAAGGTATATGAAACTACACGTCTTTCATTTGAAAGTTTGTTTGCTTTGCACCAATTGGAGGCTTAGAACCTTAATTTCCTGATTTTGTTCATGCCAGCAAAAAGCTAAATGCTGCTGGGGACTTCCGAAATTACTCTGCTTAGAATTGCAAATGTCTAATTTCAAACCTTGATCTTAATTTTTTTATTGTTTTAGGTTTCACAATTGAAAGTAATACTTTTCTATCTATTAATTCATTCTGTGCCTACATGTTATCCAACCTCCAAACATCTTACACCCTTTACTTGAGTTGGTAGCTTAATTTTTAATTATTAAAAAAAATTAAAAAATATATTATACAATCTAAATTGTGTTAAATTGTATAATTAAAATAATTAAATTAAGAATGGTCATATAACATTGAGAGCTCTCTTCTATTTAATAGTTTATATTTTAAAGTTTAAATTATAAAATATAATTCTCTTAAAAAACAATAAATACATCAATTTCTTTAGACTTTGCCAACTAGTGAGCTCTATCTTTCGGATTAGTTCAATACTGCTCCCTCAACCCTCATATGTTGGAGGTTGTAATTATTACCATTTTTTTTATAAGGGTTTATGATTTTGTAGGTTGGATTAAGTAGAATTACAAAACCATAATTATTAGACAAAGATAATTTTTTTTTTTTTTTGGAAAAAAATAGGAACAATCTCGTGTTTAAGGAGACTAAATTATACAATATATTTTTATTCTTAAATTAATAAGAATTTTTAACTTATATTTTTAAGACATAATTAGTAAAAAATATATTTATTATATTTTTTATTATTAATTTATATAAAAAATTATAAACATAAATTTTATTTAACTTAATTTTATTAATTATTTAATTAAAATATTATTTAATTAAAATATTTTATATAACATTAACATTAAAAATAAAATTTATATTTATAATTTTTTATATAAATTAATAATAAAAAATATAATAAATATACTTTTAATATGCACGGCTCAAAATAATTTTAAAAAGATAAGTGACGGTTTGAATCGAAAGTAATGTGGGAACGTATTCAATTTCAATTCAAATTCTCCGTCCACCTCGTTTCTTAACGCCACTTACTCGGACCGTCCACTGGGGACCGTCTTCATGAATCATCATGTGCGTGGGGCCCATCAATCTGACGGCTGTTGCCTGTCACACCACCACCCGTCTCTGCTCTAGGGGCCCCATTACCAAATAAATATTATATGAACAATATTTTGTGTATTTTATATTATATTAAATTATATAATTTTATACCTATAAATAAGGTTATGAATTAGCAGATAATTCTTTTAATTTAATCAAAAAACACTCATGAAATAAAATTTTTTCGTCCGTTGAATCTTACTCGACTTAAATTTAAATTAGTCGATGATTCAAAGAACTTTCAGTTATAAAGTATTACATAAAAACAATTATATAATTTTATTATTAAATTTAAATAAGGATAGACTCTAACAATAAGTCTTCTTCGTTTAATACTAAATATTTGGTAATTTGGTGTGAGAAACTCATATTTTATTTCATTTGGAAGAAACTCTAATGGCTTAGTTAATTTTTAATTTAAATCTTAATCAAAATTACATTTTTATATATTTGATCTTTAAATATAACATCTAAACACCTTTTTAAACTCGTTTAAAAGTTATATTAATATTATTTTATTTAATATATATTTTCTATATTTAAATTAAGCAAATTTAAATTAACAACTAAAGAGAAAAAAGAAATGTTTAATCTATGGCTACAACGCTTTACATTATGTCAGCGCCACCTTTTTATAGCTAAAAATTTTTAACAGAACTTGTTTTCTTTAGAGAACCTATCTCTAATGAAAAAAAAAATAGTCTCTACTCTAGATTCCATAACCAAACAAATATTATATGGACAAAATATTTGGTATTCTAAATTATATTAAATTATATAATATTACTATTCAGTTTAAATAAGGGTAAACTCTAATCACGGCCTTTTCTGTCTAATAGCAAATATTTCGGAAACTAGTGCAAGGAACTCATATTTTAACCATTTGAAGGAAAGGTTTTTGGATTTTTAAGACGTTCTAATATGTTAAGATTTTCCGATTTTCCGTTTTGCTTTGGAAAAAACTCTAATAGTTTACTTAATTTTAAATTAAAATCTTAACTAAAATTATATTTCTATATATTTAATCCTCAGATATAGCATCTAAACACCTCCTCAAACTCACTTAAAAGTTATATTACTATTATTTTATTTTATTTATATTTTTAAAATCAAAAAAAAAAAAATCAAAATAAAAAACAAAAAAAAAAAAAAAAAAAAGGTTGATCTATGACTACAACTACATTGTGTCAGCGCTGCCAGCCCATTTTAGTTTTTAAGAGCTAAAAATTTTAAAAAGAACCTGTTCTCTTTTGAATAAAGAATAATGAAAGAGAGTGCATGCTCTTAAAATGTGTTAGGAGTTTACTTACAATTCTTTTACCATTTCCTTAATATTTAAAAGGGGAATCTTCAGCATCTCAATCTTGGCCTACGCAACGCAGATGGTTATCAATAAAATTTGGGGGGGAAAAAATGGCACACTTTTCTTTATGATGTCTATATTCTGATTTCTGAAGAGGTTTAAATGGTACTCCTATGCAAGAATGGATTTCCACACCACACTAATTATTCCACGTGGGATCTGAATATTGAAGGGGTGATTTGGAAGCATGTTAATAAAGCTTCCAAAGTGAATTATTTCGGCTGCTTTTGTTGAGTTGTATATTGGTCCGGTCTTACCCTGCTCTCATTCTCAAACAGGGTAACGCCTTTTTAGGAAAATATAAGGGTTTGTTGCTGCTGTTCTTGCTGTTTTCTTGAAAAGCAACAACTTTTCCTTGCCATGGCAACAAGGGGTTTCGTTCTTTCTTTGCTTTGTTGTTTCTTGGCGGCTGTTCTTTCCGTTTTTCTCTTCACCGACTGGAATGATACCAACGGCGACCGGAACTCGAGTCTCCTGCACACCCCATATGGATTAAGTAGTGAAAAAGTTTGGCCAGTATGTTAATTTCCCTTCCCCTTCCTTGGTTTTGACGTATCTCGGATAGATGTCCAGGTGCTTGTGAATATGCTGGATTGAAATTTGTGTTCTTTTTGGTTGTGCAGGAATTGGAGCTTAGTTGGAGATTGATATTGGCAACGGTGATAGGATTTCTGGGATCGGCATGTGGGACGGTGGGTGGGGTAGGCGGTGGTGGCATTTTTGTTCCCATGCTTACTCTGATTGTTGGGTTTGATACCAAGTCTGCTGCTGCTCTCTCCAAATGTATCATTCCAAATCTGTATCTGAATTCTTTAGCATATCAGTTCATCTTTCTTTTTCTTTTTTTGTCTTCTTTTTTTATGTTTCTCTGGTTGTTTTCTTCGATATAATGGCTTCAACAGATCAGATTTTAATGAAACAGGAAATTGGGTGCAAATTTTGATTGAAAACACAACTTGGTTTGTTGAGGGAATTAAAGTTATTGATTGATAGAGTTTCATGGAATGGATCGATGCAGGTATGATAATGGGAGCATCAGCTTCATCAGTTTGGTACAATCTAAGAGTTCCCCACCCAACAAAGGAAGTGCCCATTCTTGACTATGACCTGGCTCTTCTGTTTCAGCCCATGCTCATGCTTGGCATCACTGTTGGTGTTGCCTTGAGTGTGGTGTTCCCCTACTGGCTAATCACCGTGCTCATCATCATACTGTTCTTAGGTCTGTTCAATAATCCTCCTTGTTATTTTACTACCTTTTTCCATAGCATGGGTCGTCTGAATTGATTGTTACTAGTTAATACCCATTTTAACAGTTTTCCTCTTCTCATCCTTTTTTTTTTTAACCAGGGACCTCGTCAAGGTCTTTTTGTAAGGGAATTGAGATGTGGAAGGAAGAGACACTTCTAAAGGTATCTTTTTGTGGACATTATTGAACGTGAAATTCATGTGTTACTAAAAAAGAGTTGAATAATTACTGAATATTTTATTTTATTGTTAAATTTGGAAAATTTACAGAAAGAGATGATCAGGCAACAGGAAGCTATAGCAAATTCCAGGGGTGAACGTAAGACACGAACATAAAACAAACGTATACTTATCATTAAAGTTTGTTTTCGGCTGAAGAAATTTACACTGTTTTGAATTTTTATTTTTTTAGTCCTGATAGATTCAGAGTATGATCCATTGGTACCAAGAGAAGAGAAATCAGAAATGGTGAGTAATTAATCTAAAATTTTCATTTTATAATTTTCCAACTTTCAGTGTTGTATTAGGAGTTGAGTCTGGTCCCCTTCTGTTGCAGCAAATATTATGTTTCAACCTGAGATGGACAATGATCTGTGTTCTACTAATAGTATGGATCGCTTTCTTACTCATTCAAATTATCAAAGTAAGTTCCATTTTCATGATCCATGCCAATTTTCATGATCGCTTTCTTACTACTAGTATGGAAAATGCTGTTTGTGTTTAATTACATTTTCATGATCCATGTCAATTTTACGCAGAATGAGGTAGCTGTTTGTAGTACATGGTATTGGGCACTCTTCTGCTTACAGGTACAGAATTAGGCAATCATATGTGCACAATTAGAAGTTTCTGCAGATGCTAAATGCTTTCTGGGATAATTTATACAACATTTGTACGTCGTTGTTTTAGATCCCCGCTGCATGTGGAGTTTTTGGCTATGAAGCAGTCAAACTGTACAAGGAACACAAGAAGAGAATGAGCACAGGAAACACAGAAGCAATTTGTGAGGCGTCAATTCAATGGACTGCAACAAACCTTGCATTTTGTGCTCTCTGTGGCATCTTGGGAGGTACTGTTGGAGGCTTACTGGGGTCTGGTGGTGGGTTCATTCTAGGGCCACTCCTTCTGGAGATTGGTGTCATACCCCAGGTATGTTTTCACCATCCACAAGTTTTTGCTATCTACTATTGAACAAATCTGACTATGTTTTGGAACATATCAACATCAGTGTATCAATCAACCTGCAAATTTAGAAATCCAATCAATGTGGTTGGAAGTAATAAATGAAGAACGATGATAAAAAAACATCAATTACCTAATCCAAATGTCCAAGGGTAACTCCGTATTTCCATTTTCAGGTCGCAAGTGCAACAGCTACATTTGTGATGATGTTCTCTTCATCTTTATCTGTAGTGGAATTTTACTTGCTCAAGAGGTTCCCTATCCCCTATGGTAATTCTCAGACCTCGAGCTCCATTTAATAGCAACATTTGAGCAATCAAATTTAGTTGTTTCATCTGCTTCCCTTGGCAGCTCTGTACTTGATGGCAGTATCTGTTTTGGCTGGCTTTTGGGGACAGTCTTTCATAAGAAAACTAATCACAATCCTGAAAAGAGCTTCAGTCATTGTGTTCATTCTTTCTGGTGTCATCTTCGCCAGTGCTCTCACAATGGGTATTATGAACTTCTTACATCCTTTTTTCTCAGTTTTCCATTACTAAACTAAATTGGTTTTCCTTAAACTTCCCACATACATCTGGGTTTGAATGGTTTGCTTTTATCTTGATGACTACAGGAGTTGTTGGCATTGAGAAAAGTATACAGATGATACACAACCATGAGTTTATGGGATTTTTATCCTTCTGCAGCAGTCAATGATCATTGACCTTGCTTGGAACTTGGTAAAGATAGATATATGGGTTGAAATTGTAAAAATAATGATTTGCTAAGGGAACTTTTGTTCTTCCATGGGGAAAGCAGTTCTGGATGTTGTCCAATACCTAGTTGGCCAACTCAAAACCAGCGTTTGTGTAATAAAAAAAGCATATGCTTTTTGTGTCCGTTTGTTGTGGAGACTGAGTCTGAGTTAGCTCCTGGCTGACACAACCACCCCAATTGGTCCACTATTATCCTTGTTTAGTTTTCATCATTTAAGTATTGTATTGGCTTTGGGCATTCAATTCCCAAAGAAAAAATAAAATAAATAAATAAACAAATGTTGCATGTTCTTGTTCTTTTATGAAAAATAATTCGGTTACAATAATACTTTTACTTTACCATCATTCCAATAGTTGATTGACTTTATATAAAGAAGTTAGCTTCTTCAAGAAATTTCAATTTCTAATATTAATTTTATAATTTAATTATTATGTATCAACTTAATTAAATTTTTTATCATAAAAAATAATAAAGTAAGATCTTATTACTTCTCATTTTAGCTTCTTTTTTTTTTTTTTGAGCTGAAGCTAAATTCTCATTGTAGCAAATTGAGACTAACCATTGTAATTATTTTTTATAAGAACAGCTTAAAACTATATTTGTAAAAAAATAAGGTAGTAACATAAAATAATTTTTACTTTCAACACGTGGGCGTCGGTAGCATAGGTTACATCCATTACCTACCGAAAGCAATAATTTTGTTCAGTCAGTTGCCTCTTTCTTTGTCTGACATCATTCCGTATGTCTCCTGTATTATGAATAATAAATTGTCTAAAACGATCAACGTCTTCCTTTTTTGTCCATTTTCCTTCAATATGACTCATTAACATGATTGAGAGGCAAAGGTTTCAACATTAATCTGTGTTTTGTTCTAATTACTCATTCTCAAAATGCCAAATTGGGTGGACCCATGACGGTTCTGGAAGTTCTGTCACGGCAATGCGCTATCTATTCACATGCCCCATATGCGATGCTTCTAGATAACCTTTATACTTTTTTTTTTTTTAAAGAAATATAATTGTATTAATAATTAAAAAACAACTACAATACCAATTATACTTTGCTATCTAGGCCCATTAGGAAAAAGAAAAGTTAAGAATGACTTTGACACTAACATATGAAACTAATTGCTTCATATAAATAAAAACAATTAAAAATTAAAATCTTTAAATATTAATATATGTCATACGGGTACAATAGAATTATATAACAATATATGAAGAGTGCACTAAAAGTTACTGACACTACTGATAATTATATCTATTGTACTATCCAATCTAGCATAAGAAATAACTTTTATAGTTGAATAAAAAGATAATTCTTA